AAGCCGTGGTTATTGCGCGCGTGGAAACCGCACCGCCTGCCAGAAGACCATCACCGCCGTTATTCTAGGGCCTATCAGAGGTAAGGCAGTGCTGCTTCATCACAACAACAATAACACAACAAATAGAGCCCATTTGGGCTTTTATACAGGCGTTGTGAGACCACTTCCACATTTATAAGAAAGCCTGGATCACTTCTTCTTCGATGATGAGCTTTCTAATTTTCTTAGAAGAGCAGAAGATCGAAACCTATTATAATGACTGCTGGAAATCCTTCAAGAAGGATAAAGACGGCTTTCCCAGGCAACAATTCGCCTTCAAGATTGAAGCGACGCTCTCAGTCTAAATAGTGGGTCGGCCCATAAGTAATGGAGTCTTTTCCTCGCTCAAAATATCGCGCTAAAGACCAAACGTTTTGCCATTGCGTTTATACTGTTTTGCAGAGAATTCCTTGCCCTATTCGCTAGTCTTTCCAGTTCCTTCAAAAGCCCTCTTTTCACAAATATTCAAGTGCTCAAACTGGAGTGTCAGGTCGACAAAATTGAGCATTTTCGACAGCCTCTTACTTTTACCTCTAATTAAAAAGCTGAAACCGCACTGGCCCAGTTGCTATGTATATGGCCAAAAGGCAATGTCTCTTAGGATGCTTACAACGGTTTGATTTTCGAAGATTTCAGTTTTGACCTCACAGACAAGCATCGAATCTAATGAGCCTATTGAGTCCAACTATGAGAGTACTGAATAACCTTATTCACGGAGATCCATGCCAAAGATTGAGGAATCTTAAGGGTCCTGACATGCTTGCTTGTCTTTATCCAGCATCACCCTCAGTCAATGTTAGACGTTCAAAAGTCAAGAAGTGGGCTTCTGCAGGCAGTCGCTCCTCAAGAGGGCCCCATGCAATGCACATTTACAAAGGTGTGAATTCCCACCTCTGATGTATTGAACCAACTTCAAGCTGTCATAAGAAGCATCCACAAGTATAGTATGCTCGTATATACCACAAGTTATGAGCTTCCTCTGTAATTTGTGAGCCGAGATAAAGTGCAGAAAGTTGTTGTCGCAAAGTCACTTTTGGGTCAACCACATCCTCCATTTCAACGAAATGATAATGGAGAGAACTCAAGAAACAGTAGAAAGGCACCCAACCTGTCTTGAAGATCAGAGAATTATTTATCAATTAGTGTAGAGCACACTGGCGACTTATGCCACTTTCTTTGCAAAAATTTGTGTGAGAAAAAACGCCATTACTTATCGGCCAACCCAGTAGAAGCCGAAAGTTTTTTGTAACAAAAATTTTTCACTCCGGCATAAGGACAAAAGGAGTAGTTTTCTACAATGAAAAATCATCCTAGATGTTGAACATCAAGGATATCAACATGTCATTCCCCAAGGAACCCATCGATTACAAACCTCGCCGACAACTACCCCATCTTCAGCTGCTTCGCTGTGCTGACCACATCGCGCTAGAGTAAACGTGCAAGCAGAAGGACAGCCTGGGAAGGGACCTAAATTATTCAACTATTACAAAAAGAAATGAATCCTCAGTCGAAAAAAAGAGATCATCGCGACATATGTCTTTGAGTCCTTGCTCTTTTACACCAGCCGGGCGATTCATTTTCGGGATCCGGCGGTTGAAGGCAGGATACTTCATGTTAACATAAAACGAGACGCTGTCGGCGGATATGTAGGGATCAATTCACTTTGAGTTACTTGACGCAGGTAAGGTATTGCTCTACTGTCTACATCACCTAATTTGAAAAGTGAATGGCCTGACTGAGAGGAAGGTTCGAGGGGATCCTAGGTGCATATGTACATATATTGGGCTAGCCATAAATTATGGCGCCATTTTTCCTACGCAAATTTCCATACGAAAAGCCAACTTCGTCTGCATGAGTTTCTGTCGATTTTTATTTCATTGAAATGAGGGTCGCGTCGACACAAAAATGAATTTCTGACAACAACTTTTCCCACTTTGTCTCCACTCTCCAGTCATAAAAGAAGCTCAAAACTCGTGGTGTATATGACCAAGAAAATGTGATTCTTTCGGCAGCTTGAAGTTGGTTCAAGCGATAAAAGATGGGAATTTGGACCGTGCAAATAAGCATCGCATGAGGTGCTCTCTTGAGGAGCGACTACTTACACAACCTATCCTCTAATTTTCCGTTAAAAATCAGCTAAGGGGATCCTCGATTATGATAAAGAGGCACTCCCTGACCTCTAACGCTTCGCATCCTTGGTATGATTTTCTGAATAAGGTGTTTCACCAAGCACTCAGTGGACTCATTAGGGCATTAAGTTGGTGAGGTGCATGGTTTCAGCTTTTTAATTAGATGTAGAAGAGAGACTGTTGTAAATGCTCCATTCCGACCTGATACTCCAGTTTGAGCGCCTTATCATTAGTGAAACAAAATCTTCAGAAAAAAACTGTGAAGAGCGCCATATAGGGCAAGGAATTCTCTGCAAGACAATAGGAGCTAGCTAGCAAAACTTCCCACTTTAGCGCATTTTTTCGGGTGCGAAAACAAACGCCGCTCCTTATGAGGCCAACCCAATACTAGCTGTATGGTTGCTTCCGGCTGCTCATCCGAATTCTTCGGAAATTCCGTCTCACGGTATCCTTTGCGATTACCGGATACCGCATAATGCACATGAGCTTCAGATGTAAATGTAGCGTTACGAAATTCGTTGTGGAAAACTCTCTCAACTGCGACGCGTGGCAATCGTTTTTTGAATATTGGAAGAGAAAAAATTCAGTTTTGTTATGTTATGGGAATCAATGAAGAACTTCTTTGTGGAACTGCGATACTGTTGTGCGACCCTTCCGCTAAGTTACATTTATTGAATTTTTTACACGCTGTTTTGTACCGAATGTGGGTGGGGGACGACAAAAAGTGGATGGAAAACGAGCACTAACTAGCCGCCGTGATTCATGTTTTTGAGATGTTAATAACAAAGGAAGATAGATCGGATATCCTGAATATGGAAGTGGGAGGTTGGGCTGGAACCACTACTTAAGCAAAGAGTGGAATACCAGTCGACACTCCGGCAATGCGTTTCCTGTCTCGTGTATCTCTTGCACTGCTGGTCAGTTCTATGATCCGCTTGAGTTCCGAGGTTTTTGGTATTTTTAGCTACGGTATAATTTCAGCTAGCCACAGCAACACTAGCTCAAGATGAATATGAACGGAGAAGATTACGACTATAAAGACTACAATGGTGGAGACGGCCAAACCGGAGGGGGACAAAAACCTCCCGCACCAGCACCACCAGCACCAGTAGCGCCAGTGGTGACAACAACTGTGAACCCAGGTGAGCCACATTTAAAAACCACAAGATTGTACTGTTTAGACGTTCAGCCCTTAGAACCACTTCAACAAAAATGCGTTAATGCTTTCGCTTATTCTTCGAAAAAAAGGATATGGCATGCTCTCCATTGTTTTAGTTAACCAGAGGTGCCCACAAAATAGCGGAGTGAATGACCGGATAAGAAATGCTGCACTCGAAGGTCACAACTACAGAAGGTTCAGGCCAATTTTACTATGTTCCACATTTTCAATAGTTCATATTTTGAATCTGGTTAACAAAGCCACTTCAGTTTCAACCATTTGTAATGATGCGATTAAGGTCGAGACTTGCTCAAGGACTGGTTACGAACAAGAAGGGCAAAAACCTCCCGAGGGCGCGAAATATGCTGAAACTGGTAAGTAAGATCGAACGCCCTGAAGGCTGGTAGGAGCTAGAAACAGTTGCCTGGAAACAGAACAAGGAGATGCTAAAAAGGTGACTGTTCTCCCAGGTAGAAAGCTACTTATTACCCAGGTATCCGGGGACTCGACAGGTCGTTGTCCTTGCAAGATTGTCGTGAGATGTGTAAGATTGTAAGACAGAGAATAAGAAAGAGAGTCTTTCCACAAATATGGATACCAAAAGCGCTTCGGGATGTCCGAAGCGAATACTGAGCAGTCAAACTATTGGGACTTGCCATTTTTCTTCGCGGTCAAAGGCGAAGCCTTCGATTATTCGCCATCACGATAGTGGATTAGAGGTTTGCATAAGACGACAACAGATTCCTGTTTCACTCGAAGGTGCGCTTTGAAGGCGGAGTCTGAAGGTGGAGTCACTGGAAAAGGGGAGGCCCCACTGAACCCATATTGCGCTATAGCGCCCTCCCTTACAATTTGTGCCTCGAAACCGGTATAGGGCTGTTCGACGCGGACC